TTTCCCTACGCTTGATGAGGGCCACCCATAACTTCTGTGGTTGTTTAACGGCGTTTTGTAGTTTCCACATTCACTCCTGTCTCTCCAGGCAGACAGGCCATTTCACTTGAGAAGGACAAAGACTGGGGACTTAAATGACATGCCTAAGAAGACTTGAAAATGAAGCAAGAAAGTAAGGAAATGTATTTTTCCACTTGAAATGATAAAGATCAGTAGAGACCCTCCATCAAATATCAGATGAGTTAAGGACATTAGTTTGGTATAGTCAAATTCCTCAAAGATACATTACTGCTTTACTTAGGAGAAAGAATCCTTTATAGAAGTCAGCTTATCTTTTTCAACTATAAACTTTCTTATTTAGTCAAATCTTCTGAGGAACATTAGATAGAGGTATGGATGAAAAAACTGTTACTGCTAAAGAAAAGGCTAGAAAACAGCGAGTACAAAACCACAATAACAAAAGTTTGGTCAAATACACAAAAAATGTTTTTATTATACTGTCAGCTAAGTCTACTTACTTACAAACACCCTAAAGAAGATGAAAAGCTTGTTTAAAGCTAGCCACACTACAATGTAGATAAGAAGTGTCTAGTTCAAGAACAGGTCATAAAAATTGTTAAAAGTAGTTCTTTAATGTCAACTTCAGTAAACCTATGAGGCTAAACATAAATGGCAAAATACACAAAGAACATTCTATTTCTTTCTTGCAGTTGTATATACCAAAAACAATAGCACTTGAAAATAATTTGTTATGCCTGGCTGCTTCTTTTATAAAGAAATTAAGCCTTAACAATATTATCTGAAGTAATTTCCCAACTAAACTTTGTTATAGGAGCCCCTCACTGAGCGTGACAAAATATTTGCTGTTCTTAGCACTTCTGCCTCACCTGTGTAGCGCTTCTGAGAAAGCTAGATGAAATTATTAGGTGAGCTTCTGGCTGTGCAAAAAATAAGGAACTTTTAAAGATGCTGATAAATGCCCTCTGACTGTAATTAATACCATCAACTGAGCTACAAATGAATAAAGCGGGCCACGTTGACCTAAATCTGACAGACAGTGTCATTTCTGTTCTTGTATTGATGTGACCATGTATGATGCAAAAGGCAATTTTCTATTAAATTCATGTCATGGCTCATACGCTGCTTGGAAAATATTTCCAATATTGCAAACAGAATATTTTAAGAAAGTGGTGAAAGTGTTTTACTTGTGTGAAAGCTCAAAATCTCAATTAAAATTTCTGGGCTTTAGACAAGATTTCAGATTACACTTGGCACGTAACAACAATGTCATGGGGAGGTTACGTTCTAAAATTGCGTGAAAAGGAATCCTAGAGGACTAATGCTTCACAATTTCAATTGGTGGCATTTGACAGTCATCTTACTTGCACAAAAGGCCTGTGAACACTGTATTGGTGGATGCATAACTTGAGTTTGAGTTATTTTATGGACAAAAGTCCAGTATTTCTTTTTGGTCTGGCTGCACAGAATATGTATTTGTGAAAAATATTAATGGAGTTTCAAGGAAGCCAGAGCCACCAACATTGAAAGCGCATCAAGCATTCAAGATCAAGAGGTTCTCAGATAAACTTCTAATGTAAGCTCTCTCCCCTTTTTGCTTTGCCTATCCTGTAGTTACGGGTCAGGCACGGTTTTTCTATTTACCAACCCTTCGCTGTTAATCTTTCTAATAGGCATGTTTGTCTATGTAAGTACTCTCCCTTTTCTTTTATGTACAGACCAAACTGGTCCTAACTTCACTGCAGGCCTAAGGATCCCCAAACTGAGCTTCCTTCTGCAAGTAATCAACCAAATCAGTCATTCGCGCTTTGCTATCCCTCCAGTATCTAACCACCCTTGCAACCTGTTCCGCTGACTAGATTCTTTTTAACTGCTGCTTTGACCATTAAGGAAATCACACTACACTGTCTCCAAAGACAGATTAAAGACTGCAACAGCAGGCTTGGACAGCCACACATATCCATATTTATTCTATTAAGGATAGCCCGTACACTCTTGCTATACATGGTAGTGAACAAGTGACTGGGCTTAATGCTACCTTGAAAAGTACCCATAGCACATCCTTGTTAAGTAACAAAAGACTGCAATATTGTAGTGACTGCAATATTGTAGTGACTGACAGCTGTATCTTGCCCCGTGGAGGGTTTGGCAACTAAAAGGGTGTTTCAAACGTTTCCCTCGTGTGACACAACGAGGGAAAAACACTTAAACTAATGCTAGAAGATAAGCTGCGTTTTTTTGGTTTGAAGAAAGACATCATGAAACTTTTAAACTGCATGTTGATGGCCACTTCGGAAGTTTCTGGGAACTACTTACTGCCTTTCAGCAACGCATTTTCTCCATTTATTGAATGCATGAGGGAGACTTGATAATCCTCAAGAATTGCAGTGTGGGGACAGAGAGACCAGGAGAATAAGTTCATTTTCTTCTTCCCTTCTCCCAAGACTAATGTCAGGGAAGAAGAGAAGACAGAAGAGAAACAAATACTTTCTGGAGGACTAAGAAAGAGCCTGGAGGAAAAAAAAAAAAAGCTGAATGACCTCAGCTCAGAAGCACAACTAAGGACACAGCTAGGGAAGAACAACTTAAAAACTGCCATGGAAAGATTCTTTGGACTTGTGGATTAAAATGAAAAAGCATCTTCTTGAGTTACCTGGCACAGGTTGTTTTCTGAGTATCTGCAGGAATCTGCATTGTCGTCAG